AATCATAGCATCACAGAATGGTTTGGGCTGGAAGGGACTTTAAAGATCACCCAGTTCCAGCCCACCTGCCATGGGCAGGGACACCTTCCACTGGGCCAGCCTGCACAGGGCCCCCCCCATCCAACCTGGCCTTGACACTTCCAGGGATGGAGCAGCCACAGCTTCTCTGGGCAACCTGTCCCAGGGCCTCGCCACCCTCACAAGAAAGAATTTTCTCCTAATGTCTAATCTGGATCTACCCCTTTTCAGTTTAAAGTTGTTCCTCCTTGATCCATCACCACAAGCAATTGTAACAATTTCCTCTCCAGCTCTCTCGTACTCTACCAAGCAGAGTCTCAGAGGCCAAATCTGCTCTGCCGAGGTCCAGGGGAGTGAGCTGCTCTGTGTGCCCTCCTTGCTGCTTAAGGATCTAGAACTCCACCACTTCATGGTCGCTTCATGTCTCTCCACTCAGCTGATGGACTCATGGGCTCTACTGAGGAGGAGGAAAAGCCATTGAGCTGAAATCCACACAAAGCCCTGCGTGAGCAATACTGCCCAGAGTGGAAAATGTATTCCTTTCACACAGCCACTTAGCAGCACTGCTCACATTTTTAAAAATCAAGTTTTGCTGCCTTTTGTGACAAAAACAGGCTTTCATTTCTCTCTTGCTTCTGTTTCAGAATGAGCTTTTTTTTTCAGAAAGAGCCAACACAGCTTCCGTACGCACATCAGATTCTTATAAGCAACTTCAACAGGACTGAAAGTTTCAGAAGTTTCAGTGTGTTACACTCGATAAACCTCACTGACAAGTTTCAGGCTGCAAGGATGTCACTGGGGGTGCCATTTGAAGGCAGGGGTATCACACAGACACCATTGAAGGCTTTCTTTAGCCTTTAAAGACTGTACTTGGTTGTGAGATTGGGAAGGGAGAGAATATGACTTCACTCTCTCAGGGCCCCAGACAAGTTAGCAGAACTAAGAGCTTGAAAGTGAATTTTTAATCTTAAAAGGAATGTTTGATAGAAGTAATCAAGAGATACATAGGATTCCACAATTCCATTTTCACAAAGCTGCTGTGAAGTATTTATTTCTGGGTCAGTTGGAAGCACTCAACTTTCTGAATTAGAAATATATTTCTTTTGTGTGGAATGTACACATACATATACTGCATGTTTTTATTACATGTGATGATCATGACCTAATCAAAATAAAATTAGAATAGCATGCCTCTTTTTTGCATTTGACATTTAATGACTTGGAGTCCAGTCTGATGTCAGTAATGGTTTCCAATTCACTGTACTAGGGACCAGAACTTTTATCTCAAGCATTATTTACTTTATATGTATTTTTATATTTCTAGACTTATCAATCAGATCTAGCGTGATGACCTTGAGACAGTCTGTGAACTTTGAAAAATGCTGTTGCAACTAAGAGCTGCCATTCACCTTCCTGTTGGCTTGAGTAGTCTAAGTGGTCCTGTATGTTCCAAAAACCTCACTAATTCAGCAAAAGTCTTTTGATGAACACAAACTAAATTGAGAGGGTAGATCTTCCCTGATGAACCAATTTTGGAAATTTTAGTTATGTTTTGTCATCAAAATGAATGTTGCTGACGGATGTGAGAAGTGCTGTCAGCTGATCTTTGTGGGTTTAGCTTACAGCTACAGTTCTAACAAAATTTTCATGTATCTATTTTAGAAGATCATTATCACCTTTTTGAAATATAACATAATCAAGGCATATGTGAGTGTAACATTATGGGGACCAATGACTATTTGTAAATATGAGAAGTACAGGAATAATCTGTTATGAAAAACTGGCATCTATATTTCATCCTGAAAATATGCAAAAATTTGTTGACTTTTGGTTCATTATTGTGCAAGTATGGAAAATGTATTCACTGAGAATAAGTGAAACAGCTGGATTCTGGTCTTGCTTTAAGCACCAATCTCAGCACTTACTAACTTCCCAATGTCATCTCCAATGTGAAATAGCTCTTTTAGCCTGTGCAAAGCTCATGCTGCAGTCGAGGAGGCTGTGGCCTGAGCTAAAACAGCAGAACATATCTGGAGAACATGATCACACTCATAAAGCCCTGAGACTATGTGGAGATGTCCATCATGGCCCAGCGTTTACTTGGGTTGACAGCAGGTCTGCAGGAATGGTTCTCAGGCTGCTAATTGTCAGTAACTGGAGTTTCTTTAAGTATTGACTCATGGACTGTTCCGGGACAATTTCTGCCTTTTCTGAATTTTTTTCATCCTCTGAATTACAGTGTGATCCCTGAGCCTCTTTTTCCTCGTTAAGCAGGGCTTCTCCCCAGAAATTGTATGTGAACTGCCCTGTTAGAGAAACACCACTGGGCTGGTGATTATTTGTACACAGATCTGCCACTGACTGCTGGCTGAACAGGAGTTGAGATAACTCCTGGCACTCTGAGCCATATTTTACAGCTACCCATTGTTGTATTTACAACAATGCAGCTGGCTGAGGTGACATCTCTCAGCATTCTTCTGCAGAGGGACAGAGCATGTGGGACAAAGGGTCATCTACTGAGCAGAGGTGTATAAACTGGCAGGTGGTTTCTAGCTAGAGCCAAGTGGGAGATAAATTATTCAGAAACTACAGGGCCCAGGAGATGCAAATCTTGAAAAACTCTAGTCATTACAGTCCAATTCATGAAGAATTAGAATAATGCCCTGTTTTTTCCTTACTTAGCACAGATACTTGTTTTTCATTATCTCAACACATTAGTAAATCCATAAAAGAGAATATTTATCCTCCAAGCTGAATTCACAATCCAATCAGATGTATACAGCAAACACATGAATTCATGTGTGCCTTAAAGCAAAACCCCTCACTGAAAACTTCTGGAGTGCTGCTCTACTTACAAGTTGAATTCCTTTGCAAGAGCAAAGCCAGGTTCAAGGTTCATGTATATTTAGGCATAAGGGATTGTGTATAATTGGTGCAATGGGGTAGACCTAAAGCTATGAATGAGCTTGCACTGAAAACATACCCTTTGGTGCTGCTGTCATTGGATTCCACATTTGACAGCAGAATTTTTCCCTAAAGAATAACAGAAACAAATACTTTCCAAAAGATTTCCAGCATGTCACTTTTCATATATACTTAATACTTCAAAACCTTATAACAGCACTCCAGAAATTTACAGCAGCAAGGGGACCTATTTAGCAATGCCTTTCCAGTAATCTGCATTTTTTTTTCAACAGCATAATTATGTTAGAAATGAGGAAAGCAACTGTGTATTCATGGTCCAATTTAATAGGCCCCAATACTTTGCTAAAGCACTGCAGTGGATCAGTTGGAGTTAATTATTTTACAAGATTATATTGCAAATAACAACAGTATGTCAAAGTAATGCATAATGTCTGTTTTGCAACACAAAAGAGAGAAATTTCAAACTTAAATCTAAAATTACGTCTTTGCATTTCCTCAATTCACTACATAACACTTAAAGTGTTACAGCCCCAAAGAGACCTTGTGTAAAACTGGCCACTTCTTAGCTAACCCTTATGTGATAACTGCCTACAGATAATTAACAAGAAGGTCTTAAGGACAACCCTGAATTGTCTTGCTTTGGGGAATTTAATTAACTGGTTAATTGCTGTGAAAGTAATTGTAGAAGTGGATGCTGCTCCAAGTTAGTGTCATAACTTAGGTGTAGGAGGCAGAGCAATTGTTTCTGAAAAGGAGTCATTTTTCTGTAAACAGGTTTCAAGGTAGAACTACAAGGTGACCTCTGTGCCACTTTCTTCTTCCAAAAAAATTTTTTAAAAAAATCCATGCTCTTGTTTTTTTTATACTTCCCAATGTATAATGAACAATAGTTTATGAATTATTTTAAACATAAAAATTCTAGTCCTTACTTTCCTGCTGTTCCCTAGCCTCCCTTGTATCTCAACACTATGGATATGTAGGAACAAAATGGGCTATTAGCTTTATTCAAAGACCATTGATGTCAATAGAATGCTGCTTAATGAATGTAATGGTTTTTAGATTAAACTCTAGGTTTCTGCATCACAAGTACCAAGGAAATAGCATCTGACTCATGGAAAGGAAGGACTTGACTTGATTTGCATTCATTGTTTTGTATTTGCTAAAAGACATAAATTATTATGAGATTGAGCATCCGTTATGGTTTGATGTTCTAAACAGTTCTCTGTAGCACCAGAGGGGCCTCCAGTAGCAAGGAGAACAATCACATTTGATATCTCTAATATTTAGAATGCAATATAACAGGTAAAATAATAATTTGAAGCAAGAAATTTCTTTATATTTTTTAATTTAATTTTTCACTCTGTAAACAGGGTTCTTCATGGAGTACACATGCAAGTAAGCTAAACAGTAAAAACAAATGTTAAATTGAAGATTTGGGAATAATTTTTAAATTAAAGGAATTAAAGCGTAAACTTTAGTCTCATGGAAGTTAAATCTGATACATAGATCACTCAGTGGTGTGTATAATTTTTGATCAGAATTTTTGTGCCATGAAAAATATATTTACTGCAGAAAAGTTGAACAGAGACTATTTTCCCTACTCCACAGCAGAATTTATTTCATTGATCTAAGATGCTTTACACTGGATTAGGATTTGATCCAGTATATTTTAAAAAGCAACAGAAAGAACTGTGGGACTGTGAACGCCAAACAGATGGGTGCTCCTTCCTTGACTTTGCCTGAGCCAGTTACACTGTGAAATCTGCTTTCAAACTCACTGAAAGTAATGGCTGTATAAACAACAGAGCTTCATCATCGAAAGTAGGGTGCTTTAGCAACATCATGAGTTAGATTAAGTTCCTAAATATAGACATTCAGTGATACCTTCGTGTTAGTGTTTGTGTGCTTAGCTGCTATTGAGTATTTATGAGGACCCAGGAGAACTCAAAAGAGGATTCTAGCAGTTCACATGTTCAATAGCAATTTCGGGTTGAACTGCTACTAAAACAACATCTAACAGATGATAATAAATAAATATCTCTTTTCCTGTAAATCAGGTCTCTGGACTCCTTGGGACATTTCTGGTCTACTTCTGAAGAATCCACAAAAGGTAATTGAGGAGAGTAAATCTATTGCCAGCCATCTTCGGTTTGCTATATAAGGACCACTGCATATCTTCTGGAAAATGCTTAAGACTCTTCACATTGATATAAGGTGAGAATTGCTATTACAAAACCCTGCTGCAATTGTGGGGGATTTTTTGCTTCTTATGCCTTCTGTTGTGCTGAAAGAGCAATCAAACAGGCAGTCAGTTTTATGCTGTAATTATCAAGACCCAGAACAATTGCTACAAGGTGTGACTTACAAAACCAAACAACTTTTAATTAGAGATGGAAGTTTCATAAAGCATGAGAACACTTCTGTTAACACTGGCTATATTGTTAATATCAGATCTTTTCAAATAATAAGCCACTGGTTTTCTGAAGGATTTGCTTTTCTCCCAAACACTGCAGATTATTAGAACCATGTTGTTGTTCACAACAACCTAAGTGTACAATGTAGCCATCTTGTACTTTCAGTTCACCTCAATGAAATCAATTAAATCTATGAAACAAATTGTGTTGGATGAAACTCAGCTCTGTGCAGATGAACAACGTAAGGTCCTTCACAATATGACAAAGTATGTTTTTGTTGGGGGTTGGGTTTCTTGCCTTTTGTTCCTTTTTAGTTATAGTATTTCCTCCTATAAATTGCTAGGAAGCACAAACTTCAGAAACAAAGGAAATGACCAAGCTCAGGAGAGGAGGTATCTGGTCACACTTCTCTTCTCTGGGAGTTTCTCTCTGAGGGGAGAGATACCAGGAGAATTAGGCAGGTAAAGAATGGGGGCTGGGGGCAGCTGTTAGCTCTCCTTCCCCCTCTCTCTCTCAGCTGAGGAGGGGGACGGTCGGAGCTGCTCTTTGGGGAAAGGAAGTCACTGCCACCGCCATAACCCAGCCTGGAGCTGCTTCTTCTGCTGCGGGCGGTGAGCCCTGCTCGCTTGAGCAGCCACTGAACTGGGACCTTATTGACACCTGCCTCACTGAAAGAGGGACCTACCCCCATCTGCTCGGGTGTCTGGGATCCTGAGCTCGGCTCTCCCTGTCCTGCTCAGAGCTGGGTCACCATTTCTTTGGTACTGCTCTGAGTTTTTCCTACGCTGTGGCCCTACGCGTCCTGCCCTGCCAGGATGTGCCGCAGTTCCAGCTACTGCCACAGAGCTTGCGACACATCTCATCCACCACCCATCATGGGATTTTTGCTCATTCCTGCCATTCCAGCTTGGTGCTCCTCAGAGTCCTGCTGGGCTCTGGGATCGGCTGCCCCAGGGTTTGTGGAGCGAAGCCTCTCCTCCATCCCTTCCCACCTGGGCCCAGCGACCATTGTGTGCTCTGAGCCTGCCCCACAGCGTCCCTGCAGCCATGGGGGAATCACTGCCCTGCCCTGCCCTGCCCACAGCATCCCTGCAGCCATGGGGGAATCACTGCC